GGAGGGAACCAACGAAGTGGGCGAGAACGAAGGGTTGTTCAGCGTTGAGGCCCTTTTCGCGCAGGCGGGCATACAGCAGCTCTAGTGAGTAGNATCCTGACGATCTCGGCCCTATCCAGCGCCGTTGCTGTCTTCAACAGGAATAGNATTTGCTTCATGAGGGCTTGTTTCGAGCCCTGCGGTTCCGGATCGTAGATTGTGTCGAGATCCGCGAGGATCGCTGTTGTGGTCTCGCATTTGTTCAAGATCGCCTTGTCGGCTTCTCTGACGATGGCAGTGGTCACAAAATAGAACGCTTGGAGGCCCCTCAGGACCTCGTCGCTGGTGTATTGGAGGTGGAACAGCTCCGAGCTTGGCACATTTCGGTTGCCGACAGGTGCATGTCACTCGTTGTTGCCGATCAATTGGCCGTCCAGTCCTACAGTCTTGGCCGCTTGGATAAGCGACTTTCTCCACGAGTCATACCCATGGCCGCGACTCTCCCCTTCGAGACGAGGGGCATTGACTGTACTCTCTTCATGTGGCTACTGCTGTAGCCGTCGAGGAATTCTCCATTTCCTCGAAGCACGGGTATCTCACCTTGGGGGTTTAACCCCCTCGCTTCCCCGTAGTCCGGTCCTATGCCCGGGCCCACTCCGGCTGGTCCAACAGGGTTCGCTCCCGATCTGCTGGCCCAGCCGCCTTCAGCAGCTGCCGGGCTCCTTGCCCAGCATCTCTCGCTTGCTGCTGGAGAAATCCCCCGCCTCCGCCGTGCGGCTGAAGGGGCTCTTGTTGGTCTTCGGGGGCAGCAACCCAGCCGCCCCTTACTGGCTGCATCCGCCACGACGCTGCCAGGCTCCTTCTTCTTCACCAAACCCTCCACCAGGACCGCCAATTGCGAAATCTGCAGTTGCAAACTTGCAAGCTTCGCATCGCGGCCCTCCTGCACCGGCGGGCGGATCTGTTCGCTCGCAGCAGTGCGCTCTTCGTGTCCAGCAGAGCTCATCCCAATGTGGCTTTCCTCGAGGGGCAAACACTACTCTATCTGCGTGACACCAAATCATCCAACACATGTATCCAACAGCAGTGTTCGCAGACCCACGAACACCCTCCCTGGTTCTTCACGCAAGTGACTAACCATCAATGGAGCACCGAACTACCCCTCCCTTTGGGCCGAGGCCATAGCTTGGGCATGGAACGCCCTGAACTGCACCTCCACCACATCTAACCCAGAGAAGAAATCGCCGTACGAGATGTGGCACGGGCACCCTCCCCCGCCGGGGGCGACGTACCCGTTCCCCAAAGCTGCCGTATGCAAGGTCAAGCGCACGCACAAGTCAGAGCCGAAAGCCCAAAAGTGTTTTTACCTCGGCCCTGGAATCAACACCAACCGTGATTGCGTGCGCATCCTCAACGAAACACGCCAAGCGATCACAACTCGCGACTTCACCTGGCAACCCGTACCTNACCCTCCCCCGCCGGGGGCGACGTACCCGTTCCCCAAAGCTGCCGTATGCAAGGTCAAGCGCACGCACAAGTCAGAGCCGAAAGCCCAAAAGTGTTTTTACCTCGGCCCGGGAATCAACACCAACCGTGATTGCGTGCGCATCCTCAACGAAAAACGCCGAGCGATCACAACTCGCAACTTCACCTGGCAATCCGTGCCCGCCGCCCCCGCCGCCCTGCCCCAGTCGCTGCCTCCCATCGCAGAGGAGGAAGAGGAATTCGCGACTGGGGAGGACGAGGTTGGATAGGGCGAGTCGAGCCAAGGTGGAGGGAGGCCTGAGAGAGAACCTGTGGATGGAGGACCAGGTTTCAACCTTGGCACGACGGCAGCCCCAGGGCCCGCGGGGCCGCCCGCGCGCGCAGCGCCGGCGGCACCGCCG